TTTCCCTACCATGTTTGATAAATGTCGTCCTGGTCCCATGGCCAAGAATGTGTTGTCCAAAATGCCTGTTTAGTTTTTCTAGATGGAGCTCCACTCTGTGCTTGGTTATAAGTACGTATGGAATGTTGTTATAGGACACAGTCGTCTAGGTGGTCAGACATGGAAATGGGAGGGAGACAGAAACATACGTGTGGCATAAACTCAGTATTTTAATAAAGTAAAAAAAGGAAAGAAGAAAGAAAGAAAGAAAGAAAGAAAGAAAGAAAGAAAGAAAGAAAGAAAGAGAAAGAAAGAAAGAAAGAAAAAAAGAAAAAAAGAAAAAAAGAAAGAAAAGAGATTGTGCATTTCATTCCTTGGCCAACCTGCACACACATAAGGAAAAAGACAGGAAAATGGCGTGGTGGCATGGTGGTTGGGGCGCTGGACTCCCACATGGCCGACCATGGTTCAAGTCCCCGACCTGGCAGCGTGCCTTCTCACTCCCCGCCCCAACCAGGTTCAAGTCCCCGACCTGGCAGCGTGCCTTCTCACTCCCCTCCCCAACCATGGTCAGATTGAAGAAGAAGAATAAATAAATATAACAAAATAAAATAATTCCTAAAAAAAAAAAAAAAACAGAGAGAAAGAAGGGAGGGGGGAGGGGAGAAAGATGATGGATGCGCGGGTAAATGGATTAAAGGAGGAGGGGGAGAGGGCAGGAAAGTGCCCGACCTGGCAGCGTGCCTTCTCACTCCCCTCCCCAACCATGGTCAGATTGAAGAAGAAGAATAAATAAATATAACAAAATAAAATAATTCCTAAAAAAAAAAAAAAAACAGAGAGAAAGAAGGGAGGGGGGAGGGGAGAAAGATGATGGATGCGCGGGTAAATGGATTAAAGGAGGAGGGGGAGAGGGCAGGAAAGTGTCCCCTAAGTATTTGAAGAACAGCTTTTGGGTATCGGGGTATGATTTTTAGTCTTCGTTTTGGAAAAGTTTGTAAAGTCTGTTTTCCGTTGTTGGAATGATTCTCACTCTCACCCTGAGCTCAGCCATCCCAAGGGCAGACCGGGTCCCAGCCATAGTTCATTAAAAGGAAGAGGAGACAGAATCTCTTAGGGGCAGGTGGGGTGAAGGAGGTACAGCCTGCCCGGCCAGCTTCCCCCTCCAGGGGTCCTTACCTTTCCATGCAGCTGGACTTCAGCGCCCTCCCCCTGCAGCCTCCTCACCACCTGCGGGGAGGTGCCCTCTGGGAGTACGATGGTGGCGGCAATGCCCAGCTTCCGGGCCGCATAGGCTGCAGAGATGCCCGCATTGCCCCCTGTGGGGGCAGTGGAAGGGCTCCAGTGTATAGGCCGCATTACCTGTTGGTCTGCCTTTCCCGCCACCCCAATTTCCACTGGGTGTCCCTCCTCTTCGAGGCTCATACGCTACACCATTAAGCCCCTCCTCCCACTCCGGAAATATTCACGTGTTCACTCGAGGCAACCCCAAAAGCTCAGTCCCTGGTTCAGAGCTGAGTACGCCACCCACGTGAGGCCAAGAAGGCCAATTCTAAAATTAAGAAGAGCCACCAAGAAGGGAGCTTTCTTTTCAACAGGGTGGATAGACTGCTAAGACACTAGCCTGGAACTTCTGGTGGTCATTTAGCCACCATGAGGCCTATATGAAAATAACAGAGAGAAAAGAAGGAGAGATTCAGAAGAGAGCTCCTGGATCCCACTATGCCTGAAACCCACTATCCCAAGAATTTTCAGTTCTTAGAGCCTGCAGCTTAAACCTGTATGAATTAGGATTTCATTCTTGTGATGAAAAGAGGACTAGGAGAAGACAGAAGAGGTGGCCATCTCATCTGTGACCTTGGTGTGACCTCCTTTTTCTTTGGAGAGGTTTTTGCTATAGGGCACATGTGCTTGCCAGAAAGACAGAGAGACAGAGACAGAAAGCAAGCAATCCCTTCTCCTCCATTCTCCTCTCGGGATCTTGGGCACGCACACACATATGCCCAGAGTGAGTTTAAGCCACCAGGTCCGGGACTCGAACTGCGGTCGACTACATGGGAGTCCAGTGACATAGCCATTACGCCTACTGCTGGTCCCGGAGTGACCTTCTTTAAGAGAAAGCCAAACCCTGGACATCTCCTTATCCCGCAGCCCCAGCCCTGAGGAGCTCCATGAAGCAGAAAGGGGTGAGGTCACCTGAAGAGCACACGAAGTGGCTGCATCCCTTCCTCGCCATCTGTGAAGGGAAGGAACGGGGTCACGGCTAATGCGAGATCCAGGCGAGGTATCCTGGAGACACGTCCCACTAGGTGCCCGATGCCCCGGATCTTGAAGGAGCCGGAGGGCTGCACGTTCTCGCACTTGAGGAAGACTTTCACGCCTGCGACCTGGGACAGCGCCCAGCTCTCCAGCAGGGGCGTGGCCGTGTGGAAGGGCTTGTCTTTGGCACCGTCCCCCAGAGAGCCCTCCATGCTAGCCACGGCGCAGGAGAGCTGCGGAAGGACGCGGAAGACACTGACAACGTGTGGAGAACCGAATCAGGATCTCTCCCGCGGCCCTCATTCGGCGTCCATCCGCTCAGGGTCGCCCTTGCCCAGCGATATCCAGGCTTCTACCTCCTTCCTGTTTTCTTTTCGTTTTAAAAAATTATTTAGGGACCAGCAATTAGCGTAATGGCTATGTCGCTGGACTCCCATGTAGTCGACCGTGGTTCGAGTCCCGGACCCAGTGGCTTAAACTCACACCGGGCATGTGTGTGTGTGTGCCCAAGATCCCAAGAAGAGAATGGAGGAGAAGGGATTGCAGCGTGGCCATTCCCCCCCTCCCGCCCCGTGTGTTGTTATTTTTCTTTTCTTTTTCCGTTTTCTTTTTTTATCTCTGCTTAAACTTCTTTTCAAGTTTATTTAATTTGGGGCCAGCAAGTAGCATGGTGGTTAAGGGCGCTGGACTCCTACATGGCTGACTGTGGCTCAAGTCCCAGACCTGGTGGCTTGCCTTCTCACTTTCCTTCTCTCTCTATCGCTCTGTCCCTCTCTGGTCAAATTAAAATAAATAGATGAATAAAAAAGTTAAAAGAATTCTTTTTAAAAAGTTTATTTCATTCAAAGAATTATTTTATTTCATTTGATTTATTCATTCATTTATTATTTTAATTTGACCAGAGAGAGAGGGGGGAAGTGAGAAAACAAGGCACCAGTTCTGGGACTCGAACTGTCATCTGCCATGTGGGAGTGTCCAGCCCCTTCACCATGCCACCTGCTGGCCTTTCTTTCTTTTTTTCCTAGAATTCTTTTGTTTGACTTTATTTATTTATTCATCTGATCAGAGAGGGACAGAGCGAGGGAGAGAGAGAAAGGGAAAGTGAGAAAGCAAGCCACCAGGTCCAGGACTTGAACCACAGTCGGCCATGTGGGAGTCCAGACCCTTAACCACGACGCCACCTGCCAGCCCCAGACGTTTCTTTATTACTTGTGAGAGAGAGGACAGAGACAGGCCCCCCCACCAGAGAGCTCATGTCACAATCCACCCACTGACTTGGCCAGCCTGGGTCACGGGTGAGCACGCATCCTCACAGACCCTGAACCTTCCCATTCAAGTCCCTGACTCAGCAGTTTGGAACTCACACCGGGCACGTGCATGCCCGAAATCCAGAATGGAGAAGAGATTGCTGCGTGCCCACTGCCCCTGGGGGTGATTGCTCACTTTCTGTTTCCATCTCTCAGGCAAGCTCATGTGCCCTATAGCAAAAATCTTGGGGGTTTTCCGTGCAGAGAGCAGGGGTTGGGGGCAGGAGGTGAGGGGGCGAGGCAAAGAGGTGGGCAGGGATGTCTATAGGGTACTGGGGGGGGTGTTATTCTAATCTTACTTCACAATGGGAAGCCACAGGGAGGTTTTTTGGGTTTTTTTTTTTTTTTTGGAGACGTTTTTCGCTATAGGGCGCGTGCGCTCGCCAGACAGAGAGAGAGAGATAGAAAGCAAGAAGTCATCCCCCAGGGGGGATGGTCACGCCGCAGTCCCTTCTCCTCCATTCTCCTCTCGGGATCTTGGGCATGCACGCACACGCGCCCGGCGTGAGTTTAAGCCACCGGGCCCAGGACGCGAACCGCGGTCGATTACGTGGGAGTCCAGTGACATAGCCATTACGCTAACTGCTGGTCCCTCCAGAGAGATTTTTGCTATAGGGTGCATGCGCTTCTCGGGGAGACGAGTTTTAAGCCACTGGGTCCAGGACTCAAACCGTGGTCAGCTACGTGGGAGTCAGCTGGATGTTACCATTCTGCCGTTTGCTGGCCCCAACCCCAGGGAGGTTTTAAGCCAAGGCGTAGTGAGCGAGTGAGTGAATGGACCAGTGAGTAAGGACGAGAAGGGAGGATGGAAATGAGAGGGAGGCGGTGAGGGAGGAGGTAAGGAAGGTGGAAACAGAAGACAACCTTCTTTCCCTCTGAGGCCCAGAGCTGTCTGCCTCTGCAGTTCCCACATTAACCACGAGGGGGAGCTCTGCAACCTCCCCGGCTCACCCAGGAGCCTAAACCTCTTTAGCCCTTAAATCATGGCTGGGGTGTCCTGATCAGAGAGGCCCAGGTGTGCTGTCCCTGTCCCTTGTCTGGGTGGTCCTACGGCTCCCTCGAGAGTGCAAAGCCTGAGCTGCCTCCACTCAGTCCCTTCAAAAGCACCTCTTGGGCTGGGCATTGGAGGGGAGCAGCCCACAGTTACCACTGGGCCCCCAAACCAGCATACCCTGGTCTGGGTCTCACTGAGCCCTGGTGCCCAAACACGGGCTTTGGAATCGTTCAGAGGCCCCTCTGGGGACAGCCAGTGGCATGGAGGTTAAGGCACCTGGACCCCCACATGGTCAATGGTCAACGGAGATTCGAGCTCTGGACCCAGAGGTTTGAGAGACAGGTGCATGCGCATGCATGCCCAAAGTCCCCAAAGGAGGAGGAGATGGAGGAGAGGGGATTGGGTGCGACCATCCCCCAGGGCTGTGCTTTCTCGCTTTCCCTCTCTCTGTCCCTTTCTAGCACATGCACCCTCTGGCAAAATTTTAAAAAGAAGGGAGACCAGCAGTTAGTGTAATGGCTATGTTGTTGGACTCCCACGTAGTCAACCGTGGTTCAAGTCCTGGACCTGGTGGCTTCAACTCAACGCTGGGCGCATGTGCGGGCGTGCCCAAGATCCCGAGAGGAGCATGGAGGAGAAGGGATTGTGGCATGGCCATCCCCCCCGGGGGGTGATTTGTTGCTTTCTGTCCCTCCCTGTGAGTGAATGAGCCCTATATAACAAAAATTGGAAGGAAGGAAGGAAGGGAGGGAGGGAAGAAGGGAGGAAGGGACAGACCGGCTCTATGGGACCCCCCCACGCACCCTTTTCCTCACTGGGTCACGGCCTGTCTATGAAGGGAGTAAAAACACCTGTCCTCTCCACCCCTCGTCCCTGAGGCCCCCTCCCCAAGGCCACTGGGCCAGGCCCTTGGCTGGCAGAATGCCCAACCTACGCCTCACCAGCAGGACCTGCTCCAGACCCTCAGGGTCCCTGTGCCTCATCTTGTTCCGCAGGGCACCCCGAGTTAAACCGATGTTCCTGGGAGGGCCCGGACTACTCTCGCCTATCTTCCTTCCATGCACTCAGCCTGGACTTTGCCCCGAGCACCCCGAAATAGCCCACACCGATGTTCACACACACACTGAGCCCCGGGACCCCAGCCAGGCCCCATTCCCCTTACCTCCCGGCCCACCAATTCCCAGACCAGATCAGCTGGCCTGTGCCCACCAGCTGGCCTGGGCACCGGCTCTGCCCGGCTTCTTCCTGTATCCTCAGTCCCTCCTCCGGTGTTAAAGGGACAGCACCCAACTCTAAGGCTCCGGGGAAGACAGAGGAGGAAGGAGACAGACGAGATCAACTCTTCACCTCCTCCCCCTGCGCGGTCCACAACTCAGCCATTTGTCCCATTTGACAGATGAGGAAACTGAGGCCCAGAGAGGGGAGCTCGCAGGACTGAGGCTACCCGCACAGCACAGAGCAGGGACCCCTCCTCACTTCCCACCCCCTGGCACCACCTCCTTCCTGAAGACGCTCTCTCTAAATCTCAGCGCTCCTCCTGGACCCCAGGCTGCTTCCCTGAGGTCGAGGGTCAACTTAGGTTTGAGACAGGAAAATAAAGTCAAAGAAACAGTTATTTATTATCCGTCAGGGGAGAAAAACGACTCTGTCTTCCTGCTGTATCTCTCCATCTCTGACAGCTCATCCCCAGCACGGGAACTCGGTTATCTGTTGTCCAAATGAAGGAATATGATCGTTTATTTATTTGCTAAGTAAATATTTATTGGACACCTTTTACGCGCCAGTCTCTGGGACCTGTGGCCTCACACAAGAGAGATAGCATGTCCCCTGCCGTCACGAAGCCCTCGAAGGCCATCAAAGGGCAATTACAATACACCAGATGGTGTATTGGTTATGTCACCGGACTCCCATGGATTCGACCACGGATTGAGTCCTGGACCTGGCAGCTTAAAACTTACACCGGGCGTGTGTGTGTGCATGCCCAGGATCCCGAGAGGAGAATGGAGGAGAAGGGATTGCAGCGTGGCCATCCCCCCCAGGGGGTGATTTCTCACTTTCTGTCTCTCTGTCTCTCCAGCAATTGCACACACCCTATAGCAAAAATATCTCAAAAAAAAAAAGAGAGAGAGAGAGATTAGAGGGGCAGACGGTGGCACAGAGGTAAAGTGAGGCTCTGTGAGACCCACAAGGGATGGTTCTGGGTTTGTGTCGGGGGACCTCCCTGGGTATTCTGGGCACATGTATGCTGATGAGCAAGGCTGGGGTGGATTCCACTGGGGGCACTGTCTCTCTCTCTCTCCTCTCTCTTTCTCTCTCTTGTGGAAAAATAAATTTATAAACTTTAACACAAAAAATGTACACTTTGGGACCAGCAGTTAGCGTAATGGCTATATTGCTGGACTCCTATGCAGTCGACTGCAGTTCGCATCCCGGACTGGTGGCTTAAAATTCACGCCGGGTGCGTGCGCGTGCATGTGCATGCCCAAGAATGGAGGAGAAGGGATTGCGGCATGGCCATCCCCCC